GATTTTCGAATTTTGATACGGTTGCTCTAAAATTCAGGTTAGACCCATTTCCCACTCAATTTGACCCCCTGAATAAGAATATGAAGTGGAATTTCCGAAATCATGCATGGATTTTGAGATATATGGAAATTACAATTCTAGGTGTTTCCGAAGCACATTTTCGGGCATTTTTGGGGTCGTTTCAATATTAATACCAACTGAAACTACTACTTATAGAAGCAATGTGAACAGGTCTGTTAGCAACAAGCGATGACCATAATCTGATATCAGAGAGAGCTACTCTGGCAGATATTTACGGATGTGCTCCAAACAAAAAATCATTCAACAAACCTTGAGAAAATTACAAATCCAAAAGAACAACAAGACAGACAATATAATTAAAACGAAATATTACCTGTCGCGCAGTAGATACCAAGGTTCCAAGTTTCCATGTTATAAATTCCTTTAGACCATCCTCAGATATGCGTACAATGTGAAAGAGATCAGGCAAAACCTACAGAAAAATAAAAGATACAATCATAAATAAGCATCTCTGATAAAATCATCCACAACTAATATTTGGGAAAAGAAAGGTATACTAATTACAAGCAATAAAATTCACTATGTTCTACTTAAGTTTTCAACTTCCCCGTGTCATTGGCTGGTTGTCCCCTACTTTTATAAGTCAAAAAAGTAAATATCTTTATTCAGCTCAGGTTCTTTTCTCTAACCTTTGCTCTGTAAAAAGGGTGCAAATGGAAGGGTCTGCCGGGCGTGGAACTTTTTGTCACATGCTAAAGAACCACATTTGATGAAACACCAGAGGAAGGATGAACTCACATTTTAAAACATACTAAAGGTGCATGGCCCGTGTATCAGGCCAAGAAGGATTACATGTCATAGTTAAAAAAAATATCAGGCTTTCCAAAATGTTGGACTAAAGCCATAGCATCCATGTATCGTCGGCACATATCTCTAGGACCTCTCGTAAAACAAAGGGGAATTATTCTATGTTTACCTACTTGCGAAGCTTCTCTTTCACCACGCCACAGAACATCTAGAAGCCCTCCTAACATATCAGTTTTAAACAAGTCTTGGTTGAAAGAAGCAAAATCAAGTCTTTGAGTTTCAATTTTGATCCATTCATCTCATTCATCTACTACATATTGTTGGAATAATCTGCCTGAATGCAAAATTATATTTTCATCATCTCTTATTTGAAGTTTATAACAATAATATTCACGACAAGAAATAGTTTCTCTTTTTCGCTTACCTTTGTTCATAATTTCATCTTCGATTTTTCAAATCTGGTGGAAAATTAGCTTAATAGCACCTTTGGGACAACAGAAACCTACATATTCATATTCAAATCTTTTTGCAGCACAAAATTTACATTTTGGGACAGATTTTAACATACAATAATTTATGATGTTTGTGCCGTTGTTGAATTTTCTTCACATTGTTCATTGGTATTTGATGTTGATCCTGTCACGTAAATGGAGTTAATAGTATATCAATATATATATTTATTTTTCTAAAAAAGTATCAATATAATTTTCTGACTTATTTCAAATTGATACAAACAATCTCCTCAGAGAACAGGATGTTGTTTACCAGAATTTGGCTGCTCGAAGGAAGATTCAGAGAGGGTTGAGTCAACAGCGAAATGTTGTCTCCTCGACTCAACTTTATTTGCCCGGGTTTTTGTCAAGGCAATTTCCTTTTTCTTAGCTTGTGTCATTTTATATAGTTCATGGCGTCTACTTCTTTTATAGGCCTTTTTAAAAGTTGGGTCTATTTTCTCATTTTTGTTCGACATCATCAACAACGCTTTCTATCAGCCATAAAGCATTACCTAATAGTCAGGAGATTATATGACCACATGAACACATAGTTGGAACGGAAAAGCTGCATTACACAGAAGGAAAAATCCAAAAAAAGGTAACAAACCATCAACCACCAATGACAAAATGTAAATATATAGAATTTGTACAGTGGCGAAGAACAAAATCTTTTCATTCACTAGTGCAAAAACATTAAACCGATAGAGGATATAAATTAAATTACAAAGATAACGGATCTCTTAGTATGTTGTGCTTTTCTGATGGCTACAGAATTTAAATCAAAAGTGACCTAGTTAGTATTGGAATAATTAATTCCCCTGTATTCCATTTATCTATTTAGATTCATTTCATTTGTAACTACCAATCTACTATGGTTCCACCAGATTTGAGAGATCATCAAGGTGGGCATGTAATATGAGATTAGATGAGGGTAAATAAAAGGAGAAATACACATAATGAAGATGTGCAAAATAACAATAACAGTACTAATCCATATTCTTTATTACACTATAAAATAAGGCTGAAATTTTAAACATGGAATTTGGTTATTTGGGGAATGCAAATACTTGATTGATCATGAGGTATTTTGGAGTTGGGTTAATCTTTATTTTTTTTTAAAAACTTTGTTAGCTTTGTTGAGCTTAATAAAGGTCAAATTCCAACTACACTTGATGGACCCGTGAAAGATTCTTATCGATACAACTAAATAGTAAATTCATAATACCGAGTATGTGAAAAAGTTCTCATCCATACCACTAAATTATAAGATTAGAACACATATTGTGTGAAAGACTCTAATCGATGCCACTAAAGTGTAATCTAAGAACACCTATTATGCAAAAGACTCTCATTGATACCCCTAATTTGTAACATGAGAACACCTATTGTGTGAAAGGTTCTTATCGATACCATTAAATTGTAAACTCACGAATCACAATACCTATAGGATCAAAGTTTTAGGGGATAAGTTATAGATTTGGTAGACTCTGATCCTAGAGTTTAAGGGGTTGTTAAAGGATTTGAACCTGAGAAGATATCTGTTTCTCTTTCTACCTATAACTCTGCTTTGATTTCTTAGATTAGAGACTCTAATCGATGCCACTAAACTGTAATCTAAGAACACCAATTATGCAAAAGACTCTCATCGATACCGCTAATTTGTAACATGAAAACACCTATTGTTTAAAAGGTTCTTATCGATACCATTAAATTATAAACTCACGAATCACAATACCTATTAGGGGATATGTTGCAGATTTGGTAGACTCTGATCCTAGAGTTTAAGGGACTATTAAATGAACCTGAGCAGATATATGTTTCTCTTTCTACCTATAACTCTGTTTTGATTTCTTGGATTACTGGCAAAAAAAATCCCTTTTTATAGTCTTTCTTTATTCGTGTTATTATGTGCTTTTTATTGTATTTTGACTATGGTATTATTTTGTTGTAGCATGTTCTGTTACTGTTTGTTGTTTCTTCTACTTCCATTTTTTACTTTTTTCTTGAGCCGAGGGTCTGTTGAAAACAATCTCTCTACCTTACATCTTTGAGGTAGGTTGAGGTAAGGTCTACCTACACTTTACAATACTCAGATCCCATTTTGTGGGATTACATTGGGTATGTTGTTATTGTTGTTAGCTCTAAATGAAAATAGAGGAGCAGACACTTTACTTTCCAAATTTTTATCTGGTGCGATTCAAGAAATTCATTTTAATCTGATTTAAGGAGGTAATATTTAGTACCAAGTTGTTCCAATAACCATAGAAACTTTTTCAGCTTCTTTCTACACTAAAGATATGATCCTAAATTACTCAAAAAGTGAAAATCGGTCCTATTTTTTAGAGGTGAGAACAAAAGAGATCTTCCATGTAGCTCTTTTTGGGTAATTATTACTCTTCTAATTTTCAACAGTAACTTGGTTACAAAAATTACAACTCCAACATCTGAGGCTAAACCTTGCAATCTTTAACAGGGAGGAAACAGTTCCCATTCTTTGACTGTTATTAGCTTTGTTGAGGTTAATAAAGGCCAACTTCCAACTGCACTTGATGAACCTGCGAAAGATTCTCATCGATACAACTAAATAGCAAATTCATAATAGCGATTGTCTGTGAGACTCTCATCGATGCCATTAAATTATAATCTTAGACCACATATTGTGTGCAAGACTCTAATGGATACCATTAAATTGTAATCAAAGAACATCTACTATGTGAAAGATTCCAATGGATGACACTAAATTGTAATCTAAGAACACCTATTATGTGAAAGACTATCACCGATACCACTAATCCGTAGCATATAAACCATTAAATTGAAAACTCACAAATCATAAGCTTTAGGGGATACACTGTAAATTTGCTAGACACTGATCCTACAGTTCAAAGGGCTGCTAAACGATTTAAATCTGAGCAGATTCCTATTTTCCTTTCTTCCACTTATGACTTTGTTCCCCTTGGCTGAAAGAGTCCACAAAACATATGTACTTAGTAATCCCGACAAAACAATTCTTAAGAATTTTATAAGAAAACGTTAAACTAAATTTAAGTGTAGTAACTTGGGTGTATTTATAAACTAAAGCTTTCTATTAAACAAAAAAAAAAATATGCTGGAGAAGGCAACATTTGATTGTTGTTGTGTTGTTCTTATAGCTTTTTGTTCATTTGTGTTATTATATGTTTTTTGTTTCATTTCGATTATGATATTATTTTGTTACCGTATGTTTCGTTACTATTTATTGTTTTAGTTACTGCTTGTTATTTCTAGTACTTCCATCTTTTGTTATTTTCTTGAGTCGATGGTCTAATGAAAACAACCTCTCCTCCTTACATCTCTAAGCTAGGTTGAGTAAGGTCGGCCTACAGTTTACAAATCTCAGGTCCCACTTTGGGGGACTACACTTGGTATGTTGTTATTGTTATTAGTTTGAGAACAAATTTTAGCTTGTAAAAGTAGTATTTGTATCAATAACTTTATTCATTTGAAGGACCTCAGAACTATATTGTTGGTATTATACACCATGTCCAACTTACAGGTACGCTAGCTGCAACCTAATATGGCTTTCTCTGTTCTAATAGTTTAGTTCTAATAAAACAACAATCTAATCTAGTTAATACAATGACTAACACATCAGCAGGGAAAAATAAGCCAGCTGAAAATATTACATCGGCAATGATATAATCATAATGCCTCTACCAGATATTTAACATAAAACTCGTAGAGAGTAGAAGTCTCATCACATACCAGAACACACGCTTTCGTTGATTTTAAGTACTGTAGCTTCTAATATGATCTGAACTTTAAACCTATGACTATAGTGCTAGGAGCATGTGCAAGAAAGCTACAGTGAACGCATAATTTGTCTACACAATTTCAAGAAGTGCAAATTCATCTAGCACAAACAAGCCAATGCTTATTGAGAAAGAAAGTAAACTAAGAGAAAATTTCTCAGATTAAACAAAGAAGAGAAAAGCATAATGGGTTCAACAGTGTGCACATTAAACACTCCACATCATCGATTCATCAAGTTCATGCAATGACATCACATCAATATAACACTTTCCCTACCTATTATACAAGCACAAAGCGCAAAATAAATATAAACATAAAATCAAGCAAACATCAATTTTCGATCAGACGCTTGCATCAAACAAATATGTTTTCATCGTTT